AGAGCAGAGAAATGACACGCTGCAGGAGGAAGCTTCTCCTGCAGTTGTAGACTGTCCACAGGTGCAGCAGGTGCTAAATAATTTAAAATAATTCATTTTAAATAAAAATTCCATGCCGATCATGCAGCTCATCCATCAATCCGCCCATTGTGTGTCGTGTCCAATCTTACTTTGAAAAACCACGATAGAGCGAGTTCGCAACAAACGAACCGCGACATAGCGATGGACTACTGTACTTTTATTTGAATGTAGAACTTAAATGCAGATATTTAAATATTTGCAAATGAAACATGATTTTCTGTTCATTTTTTTTCCCCATGTTTTTGTAAAAGTAGCCATGATGATGCTTAGTATGATTTTTGTTTGTGTTGTGCTGAAGTATAAAAAAGTCTCTTTTTTTCTTGTTGCAGTCTTTATCATTATCACACAACTTATTCCTAATAAGATATTATCATTATCATACAACTTATTCCTAATAAGATATTATCATTATCATACAACTTATTCCTAATAAGATATTATCATTATCATACAACTTATTCCTAATAAGATAATAAAATATAAATACCTAATAAAAGAGCAAGTACCACATCCCTACAATTAAAATTACATAAACGTTTTTTAGTCAAATGAAGTCCTTTGTTTAAAAGTAACTGGTTTATTATGCCGTTTATGAGAAGTTAACTTGATGTCACAATGCTTTGTGGATATCATTTGGGTTTCTTTTCTTTTTATGCGTTTGGTAATGAAGTCGATGTGCTCCACACCCAGTTCAGCAGCAGCATTTTACCACAAGGGAAGTAGAACTCACACACTCCAAACTGTGCTTATGTCTGCAACTTCTGTTAGTTTCTCTTCATGTCAACTGAGCAGTGAGGGTGAATTCCAGCGTTTATCGAGATGGATTCTTAAGGACTGGTAATTGTCAAAAATATATTTGACTTTTGATTGATTTGAGTTTTCATTTCAGATGTGTTGCCACAGATTACTACTTGGGTTTCAAAATAAAATTGAAGCAAATGTATATATGGGATTTTGAGAACGGTGTATTTATGCATTTATGAGTTTAATGGTCACAGTAGTGTGAAAAGCGCATCTGGAAATGTAGATCTGGGACAACATGCATGCACAACAACTCTGTGTACTTTAACGACTAAACTTGTGGCCACACACAGATCAGGGATGTGCATGTTTTTTTTTCCTCACATTTTTCTAAAGTTCTTAAATACTTACGCAGCTATACGCATATGCACAAGGTTTATTTTCACTTCCATCAAATAATAGTATCTATTTTGGTAAATTATCATTTACTTACAAAGACATTCTTTGCATTACGATTACATTGACGTAATGAAAGCAACAACAGATAGTGAAATTAAAAACAAGCAAAAAAAATAATTGCTTTTATTATTAGTGTTTTTGTTTCCTTAATTATACATTGAATTAAACCACTATGTTTATTGCAAAGATCCCGCTGAGCTGCTGGCAGTTTTTACTACTGGGAATGCAAAAATTTTGACTGAAGAAACACCTAATTGTTTATGCACATGAGGCGATGTGCTGGTTTGTTGTTTTTGGCCAGAGTTTGTTCTCAAGTGGGTACTAGGGTGATGGCGAAAGGCCTCACTGGTATGCCTTGACCTCCATAAGACCATTTTTACAACCTCAAGCACATTATCTATGAGAGGGGTGGCTGTGTGTTCCTTTAGAATTAACAATCTCCAATTCAGACTTCCACAAAAGACGAGCTAGACAGCTTTTATTAATGGTCAACTCCACAAAAAACTTATCAAAATAGAAATATACCTTGTTGAATGTTTTCCATCCATCAGGCCGTGCCTTGTGAGCTTGCCAGTGTCAAATATATATACTTATATATTTTTTAAGCTATAGCCACCGATCAAAGTCTTGACACCAGACGTGCTCCACACAAGTATGCAGTAACCAGAGCCAATTGGTGATGGACAGCAAACACCCTGTCACAGAACTTTAGGGGGAGCCCAAATGGGTTCCTATTCATCTGCCTGTACAAATTACAGCCTGGGCAAAGAGCCATATTATCTTAGCTGCCCTTTTTTGTGAGTTCTCCTGAGTCACTGACTATTGTGAGCCAATAACTGGTGTCTGCGATCCAGCATACACAAGTCTGAGTACAGGTTCAACCAGCTTTTAACTAGATACGATGATTTCCAAAGTTTGTACTGGATAGCTATTTTTAAAAACAAATTGATCTACCTCTCTTTGCTGTTATGCACAGTTGGTTTTTAAACTGGAAATACATATTAGGTTTCCCAAGAATGTCACACCAAACTGGGAGTGTGAAGCAGCATGCATCGCTTGACATCAATATAGCCTTTTGTAGGATTGTAAAAGTAACCGGTGAGACAAAACTTTAAATACGCCTCTCCCAGTTTTCTATGAAGAGATGTATGGGAGCGTGTGAGATCTGAATTGGCTTTATGACGGCCGTTCATAAATGTAAGCGTGTTCTAAGTATCAAGAAAAGGCCCTTTCAGTTGGAGAACTAGAGCCAAGAAATGGGCTTTTTCAGAAGAGTGCAAATTTGATGTGATCAGTAAAAGTCACACACAAGTGCGCCTTGGTTTTCTGTCCACTAAGCTCTATTTTCTTCATCATGAGCAGCCTGTTCATTAGGTAAGCATGGCTTCAGGGTTAAATTCACACTTGGTCTGCCCTCTCCCATGACCCCACTTGCCAGTCACCAAACACAAGTGGAGGTTAGCATAAACAGACACAAGCATAAGGTGCTGTTTCAGCCCTTATGGAACATGCCACACTTCCTCTGAGCAATTCTGTCAGCACACTGTTACAACCTCCACTAATGGCCATCATGCTCCTCAACCTTTATTCTGATTAACACACACAAATACACTGAAGCCCCACCCAAATCTTGGTGTCAATTCTAATCGGTAGCAATCTGCAAACGTGATCACGGAAAATGTTTTCTTTCTCCTCTGTCTCCCACCCTGCAATACCAGCTTCTCTTGCCTGTGGAGGCCCAGTTGTGCTCCACTGACTCTCTGGAATAAATGGAGATAATGGGAGTCATATGCTAGCAGTTGGTTTGAGGCAGGCCTGCATAAAACATTTCTGGTCTTCCATGTTGTCAGAAGGCTGGAGAAGAAGGAAGGGACAGCGATGACATTGTGAAATAACATGACACAGACATATTTTTGTGTTGTCGTTTAGATTTTCTTTGTATGAATTACTGTCCCTCAGAACTAATTTAATACCCAGTGAGTGCACGCCCCTGCACTCTAGCATATTGAATGCAACAACCCGAACTTAACAGAAAGCCACATGTTAAACAGGGAGGATGAAATTGCAGGCCTGGAGAATCCATTAGCCTCATGTGTTGTTCCACATTAAAAGCTGTCATTAGCCAACAGTTATTCTGATCTACAGTGATATTATATGTTTTTATGTGACTGTGTTGGGTGGTGGGTTAATGAAGGAGTGTGGCTTAATCCTAAAGTCTTGCCGCTATTTATTTTACAGAAAGTATGTCTTCTATCATTTTGCAACATTGTTCACATATGTTAAGTAGATTTTTTTTTTTTTTACAAAACCAAGTAACAAATGCACCATCTGCCAAACACGTAACCCCTTCACAAGTTTTATGAGTTGTGTTCATTGCAGTTTTGCTTTGTCTAATGTGAATGCGGACAACCACATGTCCATATATGCTTCTCCTCTCTTCAGGTTTTCTTGTGCCGTCATTTGACGAGGATGATTTTTTTCCCCCCAGGGTTTGCTAAACTCTGCTTTTTGTCTCAACGTATTTAGGTTTCTATATGTTTAATGCTTCATGTGGCAGAGCCCAACGTTTTTCTGTTTGCATGGATGAGGAAGCAGTTTAGCATACTGCAGGCTGTTTTGTTTACCAGGACAGTAGCTTTATGGGTGTGTAGCTGCTCTGATAACTGAGTGGTTGAGCTACTTTAAGTGTCAGAGTAGTAAAGGTCAAACGGAAAGACATATGTCAGTCCTCCTTTTATGTTTTTCATCTAGTTTTAGCGGTTAAATGATCCTTTTGTGAGCGGTTTCTTTAGACCACATGGTAACCGTAACGGCAGCTTTAGGCGTGTACTGCAAATGCAAACATTTATGTTTTATGTCTGCTTTTTTTTCCTCCTCTTTTCCTTTACTTGTGCATGGGTCTGCTTGTGTTTGTGCTTCAGTCTCTGTGTCAGTATCTCATGAATCACTGGACAAATTATAATGAACTTTTCTAAAAATAATCATTTGATGGTAAACTGGATCCAAGATGGCTGCCATACCCACTGTCCGTACAAAACATAAAATAGCTATATTTTAGTGAATTTTACATACATTATGCTTTAGTTTGGTTGTAGCTTAGTCTTTTTCACAATACATACTTCAAGTGCAAAGTGTATGAAGCTTTTGCTTAAAAAAACTTGAGGGTTAACTTTTGAAGTCAACCCTGTTTATGTGTTAGCAAAATATCATAAATAATTTGACAAGTTTTAATGAAACAACCAGAAAGCAATCATTAGATGCACATGATTAATATTTGGAGTCAGTTCAGCTTAAGTCCATTACCACAGCTAATCAATATCAGGTAATGCAAGAATGCCTTTAACCCAGTCTGTCTTACATATATTGATAAACAATTAAAAAAAATAAATGATGTGGTAGTAGTAAAGAGTAATTCACAACCAAGAGTGAAATCTTGCAAAATTGCATGGGATTGCACATAACGTTATTTTTAGATGATCTTAGTCTAAAACTGTCAGGAAAGGCAGCAGGCGATGATTAGTAATTCAAGAAACGAATGAATACTTTATTATAAATACTTTAAAGGAAGGAACTCTTATTTTTTAAACAGTTTATTCAGCTGCTAAAGGTGATACAACTGTTTAGGAACATCTCTTTGTCAGAGTCTGCCAGACAAAAGCACATTAATTCATTCAATTCCCTTAAACTAGTGTTTTTATTTTCTGCATTTTCATTTGCAGGAATAAGATGAAGACTTAACAGACACCCACCAGCCTCGACCGTCCTCGAACTCGCCAACAACGGGTCTGCTTTGCCCAAATGCACCATCTACATTCCGCCCTTGTGTAACATGGCTGTCCGTGGCCTTTTACTGCACCTGAATACCTTGGAGCGGAGCTGCTCGTTACCATGGTGATCATTTTCTCAAAAACACTGGAAAAGAAGAAGGGTGTCAATGATGTAACGTCCAAGAGCGTCCAGAGGCAACTGGTGAGGAATCTTTAATTTATTTGTTGGTTTGTTCATTCACTAATCTTTACGGGGGAGAAAAATGTTCATTTACTGTATTTTCCGCTGTACACGTCACTCCACCCTATAAGTCGCATCAGTCCATATTTGTCTAATAAAGCGGAAAAATCTATCAATGTCGCTTTGCTGTATACGTCGCATCTGTTATGTGTCACCGCTGACGTGTCGCATTTGTTACACGTCACCACTGACAACCCGGAAATGTGGGCTGGTGTTGTGCCAAAAATCGATGGGCTGCCAAATGGTGGCCACGAGAGCGTGCACGTGAGGACTTTAACAAGAATTTAACAAGATTAACACTTCAAAACAATTATTTGTTTGCTCAAAATTATAGTAAATGTGTGTCTCAGTCTCATGTTGGCTTAATAAATGCACTTTGAATATCAAATCAGCTGCATTTCAAAAGACGATACGCGGAAGTAAATGTGTGCACGCGACGAGTTGCTGTGCAAATTTAACAAGATAAACGTCTAAAAACAATTGTTTGCTCAAAATTATAGCAAAAGTGCGTCTAACGTTTGCTTAATAAATGCACTTTAATGGTCAAATTAACGGCATTTCGTCGGGGCGGTGCATCTGGTTTGACGGTTCCAAGCAGCGAGCAGATCGAAGGTGGGGGACGTGGCAAGCCAATTGTGTCATTAATATTTAGTGAAGATTCTCAGTCATCCAGGACATGGTAAATTCAAAAAAGTTGAAGAAAAAAAACCCCCAATAAAGTATAAAGTCTAGTATAATAAATAAAGTCCAGTTGTTTTTGTATTGAACTTTTTTGAATTTGTCATTATAGCCACGTTTACTTATTACATGATACAACGGGATGCCATACTGCTACTACTACTCTACTACCATCAAGTGACTGAAAGTGGTACTGCTCAATTTTTTTTCAGTCAGAATGAATGAAAACGGTCACATCTCAGCCAAAATTTGGTTTATAAATACGGGAAAAAATCCATAAATACGTCGCTTCGGCCTATAAGTCGCAGGGAATATAAATTATGCAAAAAAACTGCGACTTATAAGGTGAAAAATACGGTACTTTTGTTATTAGTAGGGTGCACCGACTGATCTCTTCAAAGCCTGACCTGCCGATTCTGATTTTGACCGATACCGATTTTGTTTTATAAGCGACACCGTCAGGTGTTATAAGGGCACATTGCACCTTCAATTGTCCAATCTTATTTTACTGAAAAACTTACCCTTGAACATTATCCTAGAAATCAAAGTTCATGCTCAATCATCCAGGTACAAAACGGTACAAAAGGATGGAGGGTTAAACGTCTTTCCACAAAAAAGAAACTGTCCAGATGACCAGACTGACCATTATTGGAATATCCTAGAAACAATGCAAACTTGTTTTAACTGGCCATGGCGTAGTGCTCTGAAATATAAATGAAGTTCAGACAATTGTTGTTAAACCTGTCGGTAAAATCGGTTTCTCATGTAAGTATCGGCCGATCTCCGATCCAACATTAAGGAAATCGGGGCTGATTTATTGGTGCACCCCTAGTTATTAGTCATTACACTTGCACAACCCCAGTGAGTATGCCAAAGCAGGATTTGTAATTTAAAATCAACAGAATGTTGTAATGGGTTTGACAAAAAAAAAAAGTTTCTTTTACGTTTTAATTTTGCCCCAGAACTTTAACTTTAGCAAGTTAATGACATAAAACAATGTAATATTGTGCTGTGTTTGTGAGAAGCCTCTCCTAAACAACATTTTACATTTTTTTGCAAACACTTTAGTTTCACTTCTAAAATATATAGATATATATATATAAATAACAGACAATATTTTTATCTTGCTACTCCCTTTACACTTCTCTAAAGTTTCTGCTGCTATCTTGCTTTCCAACTTTAATCTGTGAATTAAAAAAAAGCTGTAGGACTGACGTGTTTATTTATTTATTTTCATTCATTCAACCTTTATTAATACAGGTTGGTCTCATTGAGCCTCGAGGACTCATTTACAAGAGAAGTTTAGGCTACATCACCTTTTCACTCCTCCAAGTTAATAAGCGTTGAGGTGTGAGAGTACCAGCTCTGCTCGTCATTTAGTCATCGTCTGTAACACAATAAACTTTGTTTTGGATTCAGTGACTTGTATCTTAGAAAACACTTTTTTGTTGTTATAATAAGCCCAAGGTGAGTCAAAGCAACATACAGCGTTGTGGTATATTATTTCGTCCTTTAAACCGACACTCCCACCCTGTCTTCGCAAATAAACACAAAGAAAACATAGGTATAAAAACAGCTTGTACACTGTAAATAACTTTTATTAAAAATAAAGAAAAGATTACAAATCTTATTTAGTGAATTTACTTTTTGGGTCAGTTGTTTCTTCAACAAATATTTTTAAGTCCTTAATAGGAAAAACAAATGCAAAATGTATATTGTCAAATGTTTTAATAGAACAAATATTCTGCATGTCTCGTATAAGTTCATCAGGAATTGCACAGAAAATTAAAAATTAAAAGCCTGAGTTAAAAAACTTTCCAGTACAGCGGATTGTCTTTATGTGACATTTTGATGAAAACTTGGAATTGTCCAGTTGCCAAAAATACTACAGTGTTTGTCTTCTTGGAACATTTATTTGTATTTCAGTAATATAACCTGTAATAACAGGAATAAAATCATTTTATGCTTTGGTCATTAAAGGGCCAAATTTTGGCCCCCTGATTTAGTTCCTCATTTAGAAACACTGCCTATAATATTGTATTCTGCTCAACTTAGACTTCTTGTCCTTATTAAAGATATATATATATTTTTTATTTATTTCATTTCGAACAGTTAAAATATCGACAAAACAAAAAAATATAAATAAAAAGGAAAATATTTCCACCAAAATATTCTGTAAACAAAACAAAAATGTTCGCAAAGGGAGCAGGAAGAAGCGATGGCTTATCCAGGCCTGTCCCTAAGTTTACATGCAGATTCTGAATTCAGTATATACATAAATACATAAAAATCCATGCATGGATACTTGCAGCATACTGTATACATGCAGACATGCATGCATAGCTATGTATACGGTACATACACTTACATAAATATACAGTACCTGCAGATACAAATTTACTCTATCACCTACAGATCTAAGCTTAGTATGCAAACACGCAGATTAACAAATTAACAGCTGGAATAACATCATTTTGTCTCATTCATTTTTATACACATTCATTTTGTAATCCTTGTATTTTCTCTTGAATTGGCCAATATTTTTACTTTACTTAATCAACTTTTTTATTCAACTTTGTTTAACTTTTTTTTTTTCAGGTACTGGTAATAATCCAAATAGCTAGGGGAGATTTCAAAATGCACACTGAACAACAGCTCATGCGTTTTGAGTTGAATTCATAGGCAGGTTTCAGTTCTTCTGCTGAGGTTTAACGTGTTTGTTGTTGTTGTTCCCAACCAACTCTTGAGGGGTATGTTTGGCTCTAAAAGCTGCTAAATGCTTCACTGGTCACCAGTCAGTTGTCGGGAGTATGTGCAACTCCCAGTTTCCTTTCTGTGTGTTGCTGAGCAGCCAGCACACAACACAAGTTTCAGAACTTGTTATCTAAAGCTGCAGTATAAACCTGCGCTGTAAATGATGATGGAAACAGTACTTGTGAGTCAAAACAGTACCGTCTTTTCCGGCGTATAAGTCGCAGTTTTGTTGCATAGATTTGTCAGTCCTGCAACTTATACGCTGAAGCGACTTATATGTTGTTGTTTTTTTCCATATTCATAACGCAATTTTTGACTGACGCTTTAAATTTCCAAGAACTGCAACAACAAGTCCACCTGTGCACGCTCGCTTCACTCAGCTCGTGCAGGCAGAGGAACGCTGGAGAGCTAGTGGCTCTGGCCATGATGGATGGATGGCGCTGCGTCGCCCAGGTGAAATGAAGCTGTTTTGACCATTGAATAAATGCATAATAAACACGACGGGGTCAGCGGTGATGCACAATAAATGCGACTTACACGCCGAAGCGACTTATTTTTTCCTCTTCGTGATGCTTATTTTTGACTGATGCGACTTATACTTCGGGGCAACTTATATGCCGGAAATTTTTTTTTTTTCATTTTCATTTAGCCTTTATTTATCCAGGTTAGTCTCATTGAGCCACGAGAACTCATTTTCAAGAGAGACCTGTTTAGGGAGCACATGGTGGGGGTTAAGGGCCTTGCTCATGGGCCCAGAGTGGGGCGAATGAGGGTGGGGGCAAGTGTGGGTGTTTCACCTACCCCACCCACAATTTTGATGTTGTCGGGGCCGGGGCGCGAACCGGCGATCTTCGGATCACAAGCCCACCTCTCTAACCTCTGCGCCACCACTCCCCATATGCCGGAAAATACGGTAATTTAGTTGAAGTCTGCTTCTGGTTGAACGACTTTTATATAAAAACTATATTGCATTTAATCTATTTACATGGCTACAAAATGAGTGGAGGTCTGCAGTAGCTTGGTGGCCTGTACCACAGTCTTATAACCCTGAGGCCGCAGGTTCGAGCATGGACTGTCAGGAAGGGCATCCAGTGAAAAACCATTGACAAATCTTTGTTCGCTCGCTGTGGCAACCCCTGCAGAAGGGAACAACTGAAAGAAAAACTAGATGGCCATAAAATTAGTAAAAAAAAATATAGTTTGATCATGTTATTTTCTCACTTGGCTCGCCCTCTTCATATTCTGATATAGCTTTTGACTGTTTAATCCTACAGAGTGATTTCCACACCATGAGCAGAGGGACCACCCTCTTCTCCTGTGGAACTGTGGGTGAGTTCTCCATTCTTCCTTTCTCTAGTTAAAACTTGAACTCCTCTGTACTTCACTCCAACACAATAATTTGCTTCTTCAATTATTTGATAAGTTGAACCGTCGAGGTCAATGACCTCAGCTGTAACCGCTCTTGTTTTTTATCCCCTCTGTCTCACTCAGTTTCTCGCTTCTCCCTTTCTCCATCTGTCAGTCATCCCCCTCTCATGATAAAGGTGCACCTGCTTCTATACTACGTTGCACAGCATTCTCATGGGAGGGATATGTAATTGAATATGCTGTTACTTATGTCAACAATTTCTCTTTGGCTCTCTTAGAGTTGCGGTAATCATTCCCTGTGTTAAAAGACAAGCAACTGTAAATACAAGCCTCCACTATCGCTCACTATCATCTTTATTTGTTTCAATGAAAGATGCGTGGACGTCACAAGCGTACTTTTTCCTACTGCTACTCCTGCCATGAGCACTGCAGGTCTCGTTAATTCAGTCGACACTTTTTGTTTTGCTTTCAAAGGCTGGCCTTTTGAAGTCAATCTGAATCTTCTTTTGTCAAGTTGTTTTACTGACATTCCTGTCAGGTCGTCTCTGTAGCACATGTGCATTGTTTGTCTGCTCAAGGCAGTGATTTCAGGTCACCAGTCTGTGAGGTAGCATGCCAAACAGGGACAGCCATTCAAAAGGGTGGTATTTAGTTTTGTTGCAGTATCTTATTGCTGGCTTTACTGTTTGTGTGTTATCGCCTGCACTTTTGTTATAGACTTGGGTAGACGACGAGTTATCTGGGAGATCATACCACTTCTGAAAGTATATCTCTGTCAGCTGTTTCACTAGTTGACTTTTATGTATATTTATTTATTTATTTATTTTTTCGAATTAGCATTTTTGCAGGTTCAAGTGCAGAAAAATCAGATATTTTGCTTTTGTTGTCTGATAAATTCCTTAGACATTTTGCAGATAATTACAGTATACTTGCCTGTTTTGCTCTGAGAAAATGAGATCTAGCTGAAATTTAAAATCTCTTCTATGGATCAGTTCAGTTTATGGTCTGTACATATAAAATCATAGACATAAATTTATTTGAGATACAAAGAGTTTGAACTGATTACAGTTCTAGCAATATATGAAAAAAAAACTCACACTGTGATCATGATGAGTCACTCTTTTAATTGCTTAGCTACACCTTAACAATACTTTGCCAAAGTCTTCCTCAGAAAATCAACTTTTTTCAATCCAGCTACTTTTTTTTTTAAATACAATTGCTTTGGTACCACTTTACAATAAGTCTCCCCTTATAGATGGCTAATAAATAGTTTATAGATACATTATTAATTCCTCTATAAACACTTTATAAATCATTAATAACAGCTTATTATGTATTAATTAAGGGTGAGAAAGAGACTAAACTGACCAGTCTCTTGACAAATAGTGAGCCAAACCTGCCACCTAGATATTTCATCTAGAGTTGTTATATTAAACATTTCAAACTAAGTTACTTCCTTGTAAACACAATAAGCATTTGCAAACCTAATTAGTAGCATATAATATTGTACTTTATCACTGCATTATAGTATCTACAACTAATATTATATCCTCAAAGAATTAGGTTTACAAATGCGTATTGTGCTTACAAGGTTGTAACTTAGTCTAAAATGTTTAATATAACAACTCTAGATGAAATATATAGGTGGCAGATTTGGCTCACCATTTGGCAAGAAACTGCTCAGTTTTGTCTCTTTCTCACCCTTAATTAATGCATAATAAACGGTTATTAATTATTTATACATTTTTATAGAGGAATTATTAACGTATCTATAAACTATTTATCAGCCATCTATAAGGGTAGCCTTATTGTAAAGTGGTACCATTGCTTTGTTGTTGTTGCTTCTCTGCTTGTTAAAGGGTTGTAACTGTGTTTTTCTGCCAGCAATGTTTGATTTTCAGCTTTTAGTACAGTTTCACATGGGCAGCACAAGTTTAGCTACTCAGTTCAGCTGTTTGATTATTTTTCCTCAAAGCCTAATCCTGTCATTTATCTTCAGACACATGACAGATAGTAGTTTTTTTAACACATATCCAAAGCTTATCATTTTCTTTTGGCTTATGTGTTTCTTTCTAGTTAATGCTGTTACTCATCAACAATCTTCTTTTATCCCTCCAAACAACAATTTTACAAAAACTGTTTTACTACTTTCCATCTTCCCAAATAATATTTTCTTGTTTTTTAAGTTACAAGTAATAATGCTCTTATTTACATATTGGAAATATAAGTGTGAGTTTATAGTAAGTAATAGTAAGTTTTTTGTTTGTTTGTTTCAAATCATTTCAAAAGCAGATAGATGGTTTGACCTGGGGCAAAGCTGTGCCATCCAGCAGGAAACTCCATGCCAGTCTGATTCCAGTCTGGAGAGCCTGTGGGATGTGATGCCTGATCCTGGGAGCCAGCTTTGGACCAAAGAACCAGGCAGCACCACTGCTATCACCAGCCTAATAAGAGATCTGACTCTGGGCAGCAGTAGCATGATTAGCACCAATGTGGCAACCACCACTGCACATTACTCAACCACTGCAACCAGCCAAGCTCCTACAGCGCCCCCAAGCAAACGTCAATGTCGCTCCTTGTCATTCACTGATGAATTCAGCGGGTGCCGCTCATCTTGGAGGCCCCAAGGCTCCCGAGTGTGGACGGCAGTGGAGAAACGCAGGTGCTACAGTGGAGGAAGTGTCCGAGCAGGAGGGGCAGGCCATTTTCCCATCATGCAGCGTAGCTCCAGCTTCAGTTTACCTTCGCGCTCTAGTGTCCCTCCAGATGGAAATGTGGATCTGCAATTCTTCAACCAGCAACTGCCTCTCCACCCTCAATTCACTGCCTCTCCGGTGTCTCCTACCTCTCCTTCCTCACATCATCATCACCACCACTCCCACAATCATGTCTTCCTCAGACCTCTCTCCCTTTCCCATGAGCAAATCAGTCTGACGGAGCTCCAGAAGGAGGAAACATCAGAAACCAGCTCCCCAGACTCCACCCCAGAGCTGGGGAGACGATCTGAAAGGAGAGGTGGAGGGAAAGGGCGTCTGTCTCGAAGCAAATCTCAACCTTGTGTGCTGAATGACAGAAAGATTGCTATGAAGCGCAGAAGACCAGAGGATGCCCAGGAGACGCGTCCCTCCCTGGACTTGGCAAAGATGACTCAGGTTAGCAGGAAATGTTGGCACGCACAGACAAGCACACACAGGCTTACATTCATTTGAATGAAAGTCAATTTAATTGACTAGGTCCAGGGTTTGGCAACTTTTTTTTTCTTCAGTTTCTTCAATAAATATTTCTGATGTCAATGCTGCTATATGTCCTTGACTGCATTTAGTCAAATACTAGACAAAATACACCACACAGAAAAACTCTTTCATGTTTTTACACTTAAGGGAAGTTCAAGAGATCCACTAACATAACTACATCTTACTCTGTTCAAGGCTGATTAGACTGGATTAAATAAAGCTGAATGAAGTTGCCAGTCCAGGGTTCCAGGGCTTGGATTTCAGGCTTTCCTCAGCTTATGGAGTGGTGCTCACTGCTAAAGAAGCATTCCTTATGTTCACTCACACTGCCAAACACTATGCTCAAGTCAAGCTTTGGTTTATCATTTCATTAACTCTGTTGGGTAAATAACCTATCCAAAGACTGGACACTTGTGTGATTCTTGCAGCTGTTAACTTCCATTTTTAATGATTGCAGTGCAGTGCTTGTGATTTATATCTACTATTAGACAGTTAAAGAAACAAAAGGTGATTAATTGCAAGAATATGTAGATCAACTGAACTTTGTATTACCTTCCCTGTGTCAAAAGTTTTTATTCTTTTGTAAGGTTAGAAGACACAGGGAGTCAGATGCAAGTACATGACCCCAGGACAAACTCGAACCTAAAACAAAATGGTATCAGCTAAAGACATATGCTGTTAATGCTCAGTAATACTCTTAAGGTTTCTTTACAAAACCTGCTGCATTTCGTTTGTCTTATTTCTTTCATTAAAATTAATCCGTAGCATCAAAGCCAAGATGCATTCAGCTTTGATTTTGTGAATCAAAATTAGATTACAGACCATGTCAATGTTAACTTTGTTTTCTTGAGCACAGCTTTTGTATTGTTCTTTAAAAAGTTCTTCCATAAAAGCTCTTGTCAGGGGAATTTGTTCTTTTCCTGTTCCCTGATTAGAAAGTACCATCGGTTTATTCATCTACCCTCCCTTCCTTTCCAAAAACAGTTGTGCTCCCAGCCATTCACCATCAGGATTCAGCGAGGGCTGGATCAACTAGGCCGGGCAAATAGAGCCCAGCAGGCATGTTTCCTCTAGTCATGCCAGCTGCTAAAAGGGGAAAATCAAGCTCACTGATTGCACATTTATACTCACAAATACACAAAGACAGATTTGAAGTCCGTTTTATCTCTGCTTCTAATGGCTCTGCTGATTACAAGTCTGTTCGGAGAGTAAGACAAGATGTTTCTTGGCTCACTTTATGCAGATTATCTTTATCTACTTGCACAATGACAGCCAGCATTGTTTAAACAAGTTAGGTTGTGCAGGTTAGATGGGTCATTGCAAGTCTTCTGTAACTGTGTACTTTCTCACTCTCATGCACGCTTGAGGGGAAGAATGTACCACAGTTCATACAGTATAAGTTCAAATGCATTCATTCAGTACCGGTGCAATAAAACAGTGTTGTTTCTACGGTAGTAATGGGTTTCTGTAACAGTGAGTCTGCAAGTAGGGGTCATTTCTAGCTCTTTATTTAATAACTCAAAAGTCTTATAAACCCTTGTTTAAGATTTTCTTGCTTGCTGTTAATCAAAAAACTTTTTTCATTTTCAATAAATTTTTTCATCTCTGTATGAGCTAGATTAAAAAAAGTGCAACATTTAAGGATTCAAGGATTTTTTTATTGTCATACCAGTTCACATTTGCATGTTTGTGGTACGAAATTCAGACTCAGGTCCCAGATCAAAAAGCCTAACGATTAACAAATGAATAAATACAAAAGAATACATACATACATACATACATACATACTGTACATACATACATACAT